CTCCCCCCCCGCTCCCCCTCCCCCTCCCTCTCGATACGAAGAGAGGCGTGCAATCGGTGTGCGGGTGTCACTCTATCCAAGCTGGACGGACACAACACAAAGTTGAAAGAAGAAGAGAGGACACCCTGCAGCTCAGGAGGACCAGGCTGATCGCTTTGGGATTCTCTTTTGGATTTTACCTTTCAGACCTCTTTTTGTTGCTGAAGTGACAAACGTTTCAGTCGGGGCTTGTTGTACTTTTGAGGGAGTTTCACGTGTGTCCATTTGGCACCAGACGCATCTGTCATCGACTGCTGCTCGGTGCCTGGAGCTGCCAAAATCATGCCGGCCGGGTTTCAGCAACTTGGAGGGGAGGTAAGGATTTTTAGAATGCTTTTCACAAATGTTACATGTGGCTGGACCTGCCTTCAGTTTGCAAAAGCTAAGGAAAGCCTTAATTTTGTTCGGTGCGCATTTGTATTTGGAGAGATTGTACGCACGGTTAGGTAGAACGCAAAGACTGTTAGAGAACATCATTTAATATATATGCCGGATTTCATTTGCCTAACATAATCCAATAAATAATGAAACACGTTGTCCAAAAAAAAATCGGAAAAATTAAAATAGTATAAATATAATTTATTCTAGAACATGTTGTGTAGTGTCAACGTTGACAGTAAGCAAAGACATGGCCTATTTTCTCACTGACATAGTCTAAAAATGATAATATCAACAACAATGTCCTCTGTAACATCCAGCAACAACACAAAGCCAGCCTTGATCTGAACGAGTTTAGCCCTTATTTAGTCCTGAGCAGTGACCTTGGCCAACCAAATGTGCGAGTTGAGAGGTCAGAGCTGAGTGCTGTGGGTTGTTAAAGGCCTCCTAGTTTGATTGGTTCCTTTTCACCTCCCTCATAAACAATGCCTGTGTTGTATGCTACCAGAAGTTGTTTTTGAGAAATGCTTTATAGGTCAGGTGGATGTCTGAATAAGTCTTAGGTGTCCCTCCTGGGATTCTGCACAGTATAATTTCAAATCTGGAAACAATAGAGAGTTATCTTAGAATGCCATGTACGAACACCATCTGTGAACAGGTTGATGCTCCATGGATTTGGGAACATTTGCTAACTCAGTCCTACAGTGTAAAATAAATAGTGGAAACTTAAACAAAGCAAAACGCAAACACACTCTATGAGATCTAAGGAATCAGATGCATTCATGATAAGTGAGAAGTAAATGAATTACAGAGCATTCAACTATGTCATTTTTAATGAAAAGCAGTTACCATTACGTGTAGTAGAGCATAACTGACAGCTCCTGAAGTTTGAACTTTTCTGTTGCAAGAAACTTTTGTTTTGGTCCATGAACACTAAACAGCACTTATCTGGGGATTCAACACAGCAAAGTCAAGCCAGTGTACTACACACATATTACATGCAAATAATAATCCACTGAAACCATACAATACGAAAAGGCGGTTTGGCCCACATTTGAGTTTAGAGTCACATGACATTGTTGTTGTCAGGAGGCCCACATCATCAAAATGTCAACTTTACAGTAAGCCACGCTGGGTGTGTCTTCAAAGACTTTGTGAGCCTTTCCAAAGCTTTTAAAATCACCACGTTGTTCTGTCAAACTGTTAGCATTAAGCTGTTTTGTAACTTACATGCAGGTTAATGAAAGGTATCTTTAAGACTTAAAATCCCTTTGAGGGGAAGACCCAATGTCCCGAAGGTCGTCTCATCTGTCACCATGGAGACAGCTGCTTGTAGCCTGCTGGGAAACAGGAGGGAAGTTAAAGAGAGAGATCTGTTCTCATCAGGATCACAATTATATGTAGTCAATTGTTGGGGAGAGTAGAGCTCAGTACAGAAATGAATCCAAGTTGTCCATAGTACACTTTACGCTTAATGGTCTGACATATGTGTTTTTATCTCTGTATTTTGTTTCTTCGTACTTCAGACAGTGACTGGAACCTTTGTTCTCTCGGTCTTCACGGCTGTCCTGGGATCTCTGGGCTTTGGATACAACATTGGCGTCATCAATGCACCGCAGAAGGTAAAAATGAAGCACTGATCGCTCAGACGATGGTCAGAATCAGCCAATAAATCCTATACAAACTTGCCAAACTGGTGCTAAACTACATTACAACAAAGAAGATGTGTTCAAAGGAGTTCTGTTGTTTAAGGCGGGAGGCCGTGACATTTTACCAGATGTCAACTCAGCTGTTTCTTGTATTTTCCTGATTTGATAATGCTGCTTCAAACGGTGCCAATGGTGTTTAGAAAATACACTTGGTGCACATGATGCATTGATATAAATACAAGGGAGTTATGAAACAGCAAAGCAAGTTTATGGAGAATCTTGTGTTTATGGAAAAACAGCAATGCCAAACCCTGTCTTGTGTAACTGCAAAGAGGGGTATTTATGCTTTGTTTATGAGGAAAAGGGGGGTTATTGGATTAGTTTACAGTCAGATCTGGGATGCAACATAGTGCTGTACAAACCTATGGAGCCTGTGCATTAAACACTGAATATATATATATATAGATGGAGGCACACGATTTTTGCAAACCTGACATGCTCTTGCTGCTCATGTCGCAGCCACACGAGGTGTTCCAGAATGAAGGCATGCTCGGGTACTGCATGTGAGAAATATGTGATTTATGACTTCCCCTACATGCATGTTGCCCTATTATAAGGACTGGTACGTGTCAATAAATACTTGATAAATACGTCACATGAAACAGTGAACACATTTGTAGGACATTAGTGACATAGAGTCTTAGAGGTGAATGGATGTAGAGAACCCGAGCCATGTCAGCTGAGTTTCTCTGACTCGGTGTTGGCCTATCTTTACACTCAACTACAAACCCACCCCCAGCTGGCGGAGTTTCACAGAGCCAATAAACCTAGAATAGAAGCTGAGCCGCTGTGTCTATGTCTGATGGTTTTGTCACCCGTAACAATACAGCTGAGAGAGGCTACCAAGTGTTGGTTGTTGCAATACAGATAAAACATGTGTTTTAATAAACATAACACATTTTATTTTCTGCACTTTGCTCAACTAATGGATTGTCCTCCCATTTTTTTCACTTTTACTTTGTTGAT